TCGTCCACCTCCTTCCAAGGAGGTTCTGGATCCTTCCACTCAACTATTAGTTAATTGCAAACTAGTCCCTGCACTTTATAATTAATTCTTTTAACCCCAAAACTAATTCTGATTAATTTCTGGCTAACTATTAATTAAACATAATGATTTCTAATTAATATATTAATCCACTAACATATTAATAAATCATTTATATATTAATTTATTAATCTTATAAATTAATATCTCTCCTTTCATAATTTCCTTGTCCAGTTGCTAGGTTGAGGGCAACCCAAAAGGACTGTGCTGCTATCAATTCAAGTACATACCAATTATAGTTATGGGCTTAGACACCTAATCCAACATATTTATCATGCGTTTTCCTCCGAAATATTAGAAAGTGGGGCCGTGAAACTCACCTTAGTAGCGTGATTTTATGTAATCTAAGCAGAAACGATCAGCGGTACGAGGTCGTCGGGGCTCGGGATGCAAGATGGCTTCAGCACAGGAGAGAGGAGAAAAGGAAATGGTGTAAGGAAGTGTCAAGGTCGGACCTGCTATTTATAGGCTGTTTTGGGCCATTCCACGTCGTGGAATACATATGGCCACGTCGTGGACTTCCATGAGTCACCCCGTAGCTTTAACACGTGTTTTCTAGCTCCGATTAGTGTCCCTGACACGTTTCACGTCGTGAAATTAATGTCCACGTCGTGAACCATGGCGGCTAGGGTTTCTTGCCACGTGTCATGCTCTAAGACAGCTGCATCTTCGGAAGGTCATAACTTTTGCATACGAACTCCGTTTTTAACGTTCTTTATATGCACGCGTAGCTAATTCCGAGTACTACGAATTTCTTTTAGAATCCAATAGATAATTCTTAGTCTATTTTAAATTCCTCTTATTATAGAGATTTTATAGTGTTCGGTTTATCATAACTTCTTCACGCGAAGTCAGATTTAGATGTTCTCTATATTTTTTGAATCGTATGGATGTATACTTTGAGTTATATCATAAAATATGTATGAAAGTTCATATTTATATTAGAATTATCATGAAATACATAGTAAGTTTACTACATTACTAGTTTTAACAAAATCACATTACATGATTGGTATAATCACATGTGATTGTTATTGACCTATTTTGACTAGTGTTACATAAAATGCATTGGAAAACATGCTCGAGATGAACATCGAAGAAACAAGTAAACTTCGGGTATTCTTAAAGGCGACGCTCAAGGCAGTCTACCAATCGAAATTGCTAACTGTTGGAAATATGTCCATGATCACAAAAGGTTAGTGATATTTTTATAAATAACATAGTCATTTTAGGTTACATACAAGATGTGATTTAAGCTTAAGATGACAAAAGAGATTAAAAGGACTAGTTTGTTATTTTATCATGAGACGATGATGTAACTATAAACTAATAAGAACTGAGGGTTTTAAGTGTAATTATCATTAATTCAAATTAATAAGTATTTATCTCATAAATAAAGGGATAAATATACCTATATATAAGAGATAATTGTCATACAAAACCCTAACCAATGCTCACCATAGAGCCGACCTCACTTCCTTTTTTTCCCTCTCTCCCTCTCGGCTTTCTCTTCGATCCTAATTTTGAAGATCTAAATATATTGTTTGTCCATTTTTTGGGGATCCAACGATCGGAATGTCTTGATTTTTGGACAAATGTTTCATAACATCCATACCAACATTATGTACAATTGGATTGTCGAGATCAACTATGTATGCTCCAAAAAGTTTGCTTATGTTTGCGATAACAAAATTTTCTAGGCTCGGTTTGGCATCAAGAAAAAGAACAGTTGTTGTCTTTTGCTTGGTCATTGTTTTGGGGTGCTTCCACGTTAGATGAGTTCTGTTTTGGGCTCTCCAATCATCCAAAAAAACGCAAGGAACCATTTCAACAAGAAAGATATACCATTTTACTCTCTCTCTGGTTATAGGTTTTGTTGCATTTAGGTGATCCTGGTGCAATATATGGTAAAAGTTTTGTTCTTTGTTTTGTAAAAACCATCATATTCCAACACTAACATTATCCAAGTTGTACGTGGCATCTTTAGCTCAAATGGTTACATTCACTATTCCATAAAGGGAAAATGACTTAAAAAGGTAACAATGTTCTAAAAACGTACAAAAAACACCATTATTCTTTTTTTAGTGAAAAAAATACCATTTTACCAGGTATTATAGGTTAGCCGGTTAAAATATTTATGGGAATATATGTGCCCTTACCCTTCATTATTTCCCCCAAAATCAAGGGTTCCTTTCCTTCTCCTTCGTTCGTTCATCCTTTCCACAATGGATTCCAACTTGACAATCGAAGTAAATCATTCAGGTTCTTTTGTCCCCAAACCGATTGTGTATTTCAATCCAGTAAAAGTGGTTGTTAGCAATGTCGATTTCAGAAGCATGAGTTTCATGGAGTTCATCTCCTATGTGAAGAAGTTGGTCAAGGATGGAAGAATCAGTGTGTACTATTGTCTTCCACAACGTTCCCTAAGAGATGGGTTGAGAGCCTTGGAAGATGAAAATAATTATGTTCGTTTTCTTGATGCTGGATATGAGAATGGGGGTATGATCAATTTGTACATTGATCACAGTCAAGAGACGGTTATGGAGTGGATTGAAGAAGAGATAGTTGAAGATGGATCGATAGATGGTAATACAGATGATGATGATGATGTAGACTCTGAGCTTTCAGATAATGAGTTTGTGGAGCATGAACCTGATGATGAAGTGATACAAATACAACCATCTGATGATCCTTTCATTTATACAAATATTGGCATGTAATGTATGTGGTCCCACTTTGGTAATGTATGTGTCATTTTGTTATTTGAAGACTGAATTATTGATGGACTTATTAATTCCATTCCAATATGTGGTCCAACTTTTGTAATGTATGTGGTCCCATTGTTATTTGAAACGAATCATTAATCCCATTTCAATGTACATAATCAATATTAACCATAAATCATTAATTCCATTCCAATACAAGACTTTTAATTAACCAAACTGATTTCATTCCAGGAATCACTGATTCCATTCCAGTATGAGCACCACCAAAGTCATTACATTACAATTTTCATAAAACAACATTCCATTCCAATACAAGACTTTTAATTAAACAAACTGATTCCATTCCAGTGTGAGCACTACCAAAGTCATTAATTCCATAAAACATTGATTCCATTCCAATACAAGACTTTTAATTAACCAAACTTTCAAAATACATTACCAAAGTCATTACATTACAAATTTCATTTCATTACAGTATAACATACATAAAAAACATAACAAAGAACAACAACATACAACATTTGAGATTCCAATATTTCCTATTTAATTTATCCAAGTCTTTTCTGAAACTCATTGATTCTTTATCTGCCTTCACCTTATGAGCAAAAATTATTTTCCAAAATTGATATCTTGACTTCAGTGTTGTCTTGTTTTATTACTTCTTCATCTTGATCGACCCATTCCCAGAAATCACATTTATTCTTCTTCTTATCCTTCAATATACATAATAAAATTCAGATAAGAAATTAATTATGTAAGAGAAGTAGATGATAGATGATACAACCACTTACTAGTGAGTTACGACATACTCTGAATTTCTACCCGGATTATTAGCCGTAGTTGAGGTCCAAACTTGGGAGGGCTTCTCACAGTGACAAGGGTGAGCATAATCAATTGTACTCCTACTCTTGGAAATGTTCGAATTTGACTTAGAATAACTTGATGAACTTGAAGATGCCATAGGAGCCATTTTTAATGTGAAGGGCATAAGGAGATGAAGAAGGGGGATGAAGATGGAGAGTGAACCCTAATTTGGTGGTTGAAGGTTATTAAAGCACGTTTAATCTTTGACCTGAGGTAATCGGTTACCTCAGGTCACTATAAAGGGTTATTTGTATTTTGTTGGTGTTTTTTGTACAAAATTTCCATTTTAATGGTATTTTTTTCACTAAAAAAAAATAATGATGTTTTTTGTACGTTTTTGGAACATTATTACCTTTTTAAGTTATTTTTCCTTCCATAAAATAGTTATATAACCACCAAATTCACAAATTTCGTTGTCCTCATCCAGATTTTAGATAAATGAGTACATTAAATACACACTCATATTTCACTATTTTGGAACTCTTACAAAATTAATATTACATATATTTTTAGAGAAACAAACTCTATGTTTGAGTGATCTTCACGGTTAGGGATGAGCATATGGACCGGGGAACCGGCCGGAACCGGTATCAGAACCGTAACCGGTACTGGATACGAAACCCGATGGAACCGGTCGGACCGGGACCGGAACGATATTGTTGTGGATTTTTGGAACCGGGAACCGATAGGAACCGTATGTTGCTATTTCTCGAGGACCGGTTCCAACATTGAAGACACGGCAAGAAACGGTAGGAATCGGTAGAACCGGCGGTCCAGTTCGGTTCTTAATTTCAGCCGACTTCGGTTTCCGGGTCGGGTCCGGGTCGGACCGGTTCCAGCCGGATCGGTTCCTTTGCTCATCCCCTTTCACAGTTATCCAAAGTTGAATTATTCTGTAACTCAATCAATGTAATGGAAAAATATCAACAAAGAAAGTGATCTTCCACGAACCTTTGATTACCATTATTCTCTTTTCTTCTCGCCCATATTTCAACATATATATAGAACCGTGTCAAAGCATTTTAACTTTTTTTTTTTGTTAATAATTGTTTAGTGTTATGAAAGTTTTAATTATTTTTACGGTAAAGTCACTTGAATTACAATATTTACATGACTTTTATTTTCTATAAAGAAATGGAATATATGTTAATAATATAGTTAAATATTAGCCTAGTTTCATAACGGATTCATCTTGTGACCGTTTAAACTAGTTTAAGGACATTAACCATTCGACTTTCAATTCTATTAAAATTCATCTTCTATAGGATGTTACAACAATCATAGTAGTAATTTACAGACGACATTGATACTATAACACAAAACGAAAGGTATCGATCATGCATTCAAACATCATAACCAGGATTTACAGTTTGTTGAACATCACCATAACTCTCCAACTCATCAATATCCTCTGGACTTCCCAAGAACAACGGAAGTCTCTGATGCAGCTTCACCGGTTGAATCGACAGAATCCTATTCTTCCCGTCCGACCCTTTCCCGCCTGCTTGCTCCGCCACAAAACTCAGCGGATTCGCCTCATAAACAAGCCGAAGATGGTCTCTAGGGTTCATCGCCACTCCACCATACATCAAAGTTCTATGAAAATCAGCAACCAACGAACAAATATAACGCGCAGAATACTTCTTCGGAAACTTCCCTTTCCCTTGTCTGATTGTATCGATGTATCGCCTCAAACCCTCCGGCCAATCAAAGTATCGTGCATCGTTTACTGAATAGATCTGACCTCGAGGAGGGATTTTAATGTCTGGGTGTGTGAGAACGAAGTCTCCAGTGGAATGATCGAGAGTAAAGGCGTGTGCGCCGGAACCGAAGGTGGTGCAGAGTATGGTGGCGGAGGAGTAAAGAACATAGCCGGCGGCGACGAGGCGATTGCCGCTCTGTAACGAATTAAGCAACGCCTTCTCCTCCGTTGGAAGATTATCGAGTTCTATTAAGCGATTGTAGATCCCGAAAATGGTTCCGGTGGGGATTGAAGCGTCGATGTTACGAGAACCATCGAGGGGATCTGTTACCACCACAAATGGGGCGTTATCGGTTATCCAAACGGGAGCATCGTCTTCTTCGGAAGCCATAACTGCAACTTTTCCGGAGTTTTTCAAAGAAGACAAGATGATTTCATTCTGGGAAATATAAACAAACCATTAACCCTAAAAAAGAACTAGAGAACACATCAAATTTACTAGATTTTGGCTTTGAATTGTTCTCCCAAATTCATATCATCAAAGAAGGGGATTTTAAGAATACGAAACCCACTAATAATTTGCACATAAGAGATCGAAATGATTAGCATACGTACAGAAACAATGTCGAGTGGCTTAGGTTTATCTCTACCGGAGTCCACATCTTGGCCACCACCGGAGCTTTTTCCGAGGCTGGAATTGACCGGAGAAGCAACGAGAGCTGCAATTCTCTTGAACGCATACTCCAAGTGACTAAACAACACCACCAGATCGTCACCTACGTTCGCGCCTCCCTTGCCGGCGTACTCGGTAATAGTAAGAAACTCACCGGAACTGTTATCCAATTTTGAATTAACCTTAAACCTACCGAAAGAGGAAGCCATACTTGCAGTACTACGGCGGTTGGAAAAATCCGGGCGGAAGCGAAGTGGGTTTGGCGGGAATTTTGGTAGGAAATTGGGGGTGAGATTGAGATTTTGTATTGCGGCTGTGATTGTGGTGGTGGGTGATTGCATTCTATGGCTGTGGCGTTTTGGGGTGATGGGTGGAATTGAAAAGGGAACATCTTCGGGATTGATTTATTTTGATGTAATTGAAGTTGGGAAATTGGTTTATTCTTGAGTTACAACTTACAAATGAACATTTATGTCAGTATTTTATTTTTTTCAATACAATTTTACAATTTAATTTTTATAATTTAAAAGTTTAATTAAACATAATTTTTATAAGATCTATTGAATTTTATAAAGTTTATTAAACATATTAAAAAAATTAAAAGCTTGTTTTTCCATTAAAGACTCGATGTTTATTAAACTTTAAGTAAATTGAATGTCAACTTGATACCTTATTATTATTATTATTTTAATTAATAAATGTCAATTAAAAAAAGTCTAATTAGATAATCCATGAATCATGCATTATGGACACCCTTAGGCTATATAGAATAGAGTGCGATAAGAATGAGTCGCGGCTTATATGACATAGTGAACACCCCCCTCCCCACTTTCCCCCTTATGCGCTTTGGGTGTGCGTTTTGAGGTGTGCGACCAAAAATAAGAGCAAGACTATCCTAACAATCTTTGAAGCAAATTTGGTCATCAACTCTTCATAATCAACACTCTCCAATATAACGTTTTCAGTAACTATCATTGTCAATTCATTAAGTCTTTCTTATGACATTGTGTAATGTATGAAGGACTTTAACAACTTCAGTTTAAAAAACTTTTTTCTATAGACGTCATTACTGGAATAACCAGCAAGACTCTATATGTAATAATTGCATTAAGAAAACAATGGACTTTTTTCATATGTTTTAAAACATCGGTAGGGTTGGTAGTTTCATTTGATAAGAAGTGTTCAAATCTTGTTTGAAGAGAAGATCTCCCTTGATTACATTATATAAAAAACAATTAACTTTAAATTCTCCTCGAGTGAAAATATGACATCTTTATTACTTGAATTGTCATCAAATTGTTTTTTCTATTAACGGTACGTTTTTGAGGGAATACCGGATCAATATTCATTTCAAACGAAAGTACCAAAGGGATTCTAGCCCAGCGATATCCGGTGTTCTCTTTTCTCCTTGAGGCTGAGGGTTTAAGTTCCATTGTGGACATAGGTGGATTTAAAGAATAGTTTAGGATGAGATTAGATTTGTCATTTCAAAAAACAAAAAATCAAACGAAAGTTCATTAGCATCATCAATCCTCTTAGAGAACCATGTTCTCTAAACTCCTCGAAGAACTCAATCAACATACTCACTTCTTTAATAGCAACACGATAAGCATATCATTTGATTGTAAATTTTTGTTGATCGAGTTCACAGTGTATAATATAGGGATGAACATTTGGACCGGGGAACCGGCCGGAACCGGAACCGGAAACGGAACCGGATAGAAGTGATCGGGCCGGGGCCGGGACCGGGACGATATTTTTGTGGATTTTTGGAACCGGGAACCGGTAGAACCGGCCAAAACCGTAACCGAAATATTTCTCAAAATATGTTGCTATTTCTCAAGGATCGGTTCCAACATTGAAGACTCGGCAAGAACCGGTAGGAACCGGAACCGATAGAACCGGTGGTCCGGTTCGCTTCCTATTTTCCACCAAGTTAGGTTCCCGGGCCGGTTCCGGTTCGGGCCGATTCCGATGCTCATCCCTAGTATAATACTTTAGCATGAGCTACTGGAATTGAAACAAAACATGGTATTTTGTCTTTGGAGTTTGGATTACTAGATTGATGGACAACGAAGTGAACCGTATGTAAAATTGGGTCTCCTCTATGACATGGGTCATATATGGTTGTCCACCTTGCATAAAAGAAGAAGTAGAAAACTACATAGTTGACATGTTTGACTTGTTTATTTTGTAGTAGTTTAATTGAATAATTAATAAAATAAAAGTTCCACCACATGAAAGCAGCTAAAATCAACGTAACGCAAATATCACTCATGTAAATTTCGCTTACGATTCGTGTTTCCTTTTCCATACATTAACTGTGTGATTTGATTTTTAAAAACTACTGAACCAAACAATACAGCTAGACATATGCAAATAGTTTCTAAAAAAACGTTATACTTAAATCAAGCAACAGGTAAACGAAAGTTGTGACATATGAAAATGCTTAATAAATTATTACATGGGACCCAACGTAACAACATTTTCAAACCATATCCAAAGTGGTTTTCAAAAGTATAAAAAGAAGAGGTGATCATTTTGTCATCTATCAAATGCAAAAGAATCATATTTTGTCGTCTACCAATACAAGACGTAGGATCATTCCAGATTCTACAAGACAACAATATAACTTCAAAGATATGAACCATACTTTTTTCTTAAGTATTCAGGCCATTATTGAAGCTCAAGAGAACCAAAAATGGTGCTACACACACTTGAACTCTTGAAGAAAGAAGTACCACTAGAAGAGGAATCACTTTGCATATCGGAAGATATCAAAACCGGACTCGTTCTTGTTGACATCATCAATGGCTTCTGCACCATTGGAGCTGGAAACCTGGTGAGTTCATAAACATCATGTCTGCCATGTAAAACTAGAAACTTGACAATCTTGATGTCAATGAGACAAAAACTGTAATTTTTTTCACACTGATAAAAGATTTGATTTTGATCGTGTACAAAATATGTAAATTCCCTTTTCATCTACATCATCAAACATAGCTATAAAATTAGCTTGTCTAGCCTGGTTCATAGTTTGATGCTCCATCAATTAAGTTTAGGGTAAACTATATTGTTAATCTTTAGGTATTTCAATTTTGGTCCTTATTTGAGATTTGACAACGTTTTGGTCCAAGCTCTACGTAAAATGACTATATTTTCAATACTACAATTGAAAAAAATCAGCTACATTCAAAGATTAAAAATAGTAATTTTACTTAAAATAATTAAAAAAAAAAGAACGTTACAAGAACCTGAAAATAAGAATCAACAAAGCAAAAGAACTTTTTGGGATCAAAATTACAAAAGTAAGCTATACTTACAACACAAAAATGTAATTTACTCTAAAGTTTACGTATTGACAATTGATTTTTTTATATAAAAAAAGGCACCAAGAGAGCCAAACCACCAAATATCCGAAATGGTCGATGAGTCGGTAAAACTTTCAAGAATTTTTTGTGAGAACAAATGGCCAGTTCTTGCGTTTTTAGATACACATCAACCTGGAAAACTCGAACACCCTTATCCTTCTCACTGTCTTGCTGACTCTCATGAATCCAATTTGGTTCCTGGTATTATTTTATCTTTTCTTGTATTTCTTTATTAAGTTTATAACATTAATTTTTCATTTTTTTTTCAAATTATATTTTATATAAATTTCATTTTATATATAGCTCTAGAGTGGTTGGAGAAAGAGCCGAATGTAACAATTAGGCGCAAGGATTGTTACGATGGATATATTGGTTCTATTCAAGAAGATGGTTCAAATGCTTTTGCGGATTGGGTCAAAACCAACGACATCCAACTAGTAAGTATTTATGAATTACTAGTTTATAACCCGTGGAAACCACGGTTATAAAATTAATTAAAATTTTATAATAAAATGTTATAATTATTAATTAGTTATTTTAAATAAGTCATTTTAAATAAATTATTAATTAAGATATATATCAAAATTTTAAAGTTATTATAACTTCAAATTTAACATATAATTAGAAAATGTAAATTTGAATTTTGAAATGAGTTGTCAAATATATCTACATGACACATGACATGATATTAATGATGAGTTGTATTAAAGTGACATTTGACAAAAGGAGATTAAAACTATTCATTTATTAGAATATGAATATTTGTTCCACAAATAAAAATTTGTTTCCTTTTTGGACATAATAACAGATGACAATTTTACCAATTAAATAAATGATGTTTGTATAGGAGTAAGTATTGTATGGACAAAGACTATTTTGTTGGACCGAACGAACTTTCTAAACAATACTAAATGACTATTGTACCCTTGTGCGAGTGATGTTGTCATGTTGAATAATTAAGTTATGTTTATTTGGTAAATGTTGTATGAACAAATGTTTTTTTTGGACTAAAATAAACCATATTACCGTTGTGGCTACGAATAAATAAATGTTTGGAGTGAATATTGTGTGGACAAAGACTGTTTCTCGTTTGAACCGAATGTATTGGAATTGTCTTAACAAGAGTAAAGGACAATTTTACCCTTTTGTTTGCAAGTGACGCTGACGAAATAAATGGTGTATATTTATTTAAGGTCTGTCTATATTAAGTCTGTTAAGTAGAAAATAAAGATAGCACTAAATCAAACAAGATCAAACTAATAATTCTATACATTATGTTTGTTTAAGTTATTGGTGGCAGGAATATGCACAGATATATGTGTGCTGGATTTTGTTTGTTCAACATTATCAGCAAGAAATCGTGGTTTTCTAGCACCATTGGAAGATGTGGTGGTGTATTCCCATGGTTGTGCTACCTTTGATTTCCCAGAATCGGATGCAAGGGGCACTAAAGATGCCTTAGCTCATCCTCAGGTACAAAATTTTATTATTTTTAGATTATATAAAGATATACGATATAAGATTTAGATACTATATTAATTCATACAATTACTTGACGATCAGAGACATGGGCGGAGCTTTATTAGGACCAGGGGTTGTGGCTCCCCTGATTTTTTTTTGTTACAAATAGCCCCTTATACTTTAATTTTACACATATTAGACCTAAAAATATAAAAGTTTGGCTGTGCCCCCCCCCCCCCCCCTTTTCACTGATTTTTAACCATATTATATTTTTGGCCCCCCAAATTATATGTTGAAGCTCCACCCTGATCATAGATTATTTGTTTCCACATATATTTTTATTATAGCCATCTACTTCTATTTTTTTATTTACAACATTATACGTACAAGTTACAATTATTTTCTTACTAGGACAATTCTACTTTGAGAAACGTATCTAACTATAGCATTTAACCCAATAAAATAATCCATCAACTATAATTAAATAATGTAAATAGTAGACTTAAAATTATACATTGTATTTACATATAATACCAAAAAAAAAAAAAATCATGCCAACCAAACATGTTTGTGGGATGTAATGTCTCATTCCCTCACCTAGCTTATTCCATCATTTCATCGAACTAAACAGGCCCTTAATTAGCTTTAAGCAACGATTTTTGGGACAATAATCCATTTCTTTTATGGCAGGAGATAATGCACCATATGGGTCTTTACATGGCTAAAGGAAGAGGAGCAAAAATAGCAAAACATGTCTCTTTTGGTGGACTAAAAAAGTAATTATATGTTGCGTATGTTAAAGTTTGTCTCTAGAAAGACATGATGTGCTTTTTCTTATTATGTTAATTTCTAAAATAATGCCCAAGTTACAAGTTTGAACTGCCTAAGTTGACATTAGCATTACCACTGTATGATCGATACATTTAAATACTACTTTACATAGCATATGAACAACCTCCGATTTTACAATTTTATTTCTCCAAATCATTTCAGGCTTTAGTGTTTATAATCAAAGAAAACCTACTTTGTTTCACTTAAATTTGTCAATATCTGAACATGTACAATATTCTTTTATACAAGTACATTTGAAATGACACATTTAGCTACATTTGGTTATTATGTTAATATGTTTTAGTTAGATTTGATGATTATGGGAATAAGTTTATAAGTAATCGGGAGTAGGTTGTAGTCAATTTATCAAGTTCGATTTAAATGACGCTTTTAGTTGGGGGTTGTTTAATAACCTTTGAATGCGCATTCATCATATTTGATACAACTTTTGAACGATATAAGGAACCCTACCTTCTGTGAACCATTAAGATGTTGAAATCATTTGACAATAAATGGTTCATGATGCCTTAGCTCATCCCGAGGTATAAAATTTTATTACTTTCAAATTATATAAAGATATAAGATACTATAAGATACAGATACTATATTATTTGATATATAATTAATTATCTAAATCATTAGATTCATTGTTTCCTTGATATATTGACTTGAAAAGGACTTAGAAAGATCCGATTAATGAACCCCTTCTAATAGATCATAGTGCTTTTTAAAAAAAAATTATAATCTTATTTGGGTTTGACGAGCTTTTATTATGTTTCATGTTTTATTTATGTAAATAAAAACCAGGCTAAATTCCCAAAAGAAAAGCAACTAAATTCCATTTATATGTTTATTATAGCCACCAACTTCTTTTCTATCACAACATTGTACTTACAATTATTTTATTCTACCTCGGGAAACACATCTAACAATAGCATCATATGTTCATTTAGGCATTGCAATTTGAAAATTTTACCTAATTACAACAGTGAAAATTGCTTTGTATTTGTGAAAATTGGATGGATATGACAGTATAGATTTTTCAATGTACAATGTTGTTGTAATAGGAAGAAACAAATGTTGCAAATAATAATAATAGGGATTTTAAGTACACCACATTGGTCTTTACATGGCTAAAGGAAGAGGAGCAAAAATAGCAAAACATGTGTCTTTTGGTTCACTAAAAAAGCAAAAATAGTAATGGATATATTAATATGTTAAAAGTTTGTCTCTAGAAACCCATGATGTGCTATTTCTTATCATGTGAATTTCTAAAATAATACTATGGATACATTTTCTATCACTGGTGAAGAGGTTACTTACAAAAAGCCTAATTAGGTAGAAGAGTGAAGAGAGAGATTTGCTGTTGATGTACAAAAAAGCATCTATTCCTGGAGCCTTAACTGATTAAAGAAGAGCCAAAAATGGTTCTCAGGTGACCGATATACAAATCCAACAACTGGACCTCCATTAATGTGCTGCAAAAAGTAGAAATTATTATTTCGTCAATAAAAAATAAATTAATTAAGAAATCAAAGGCAAAGAAACAAAAATGGGAAACCTTTCCATCAAGAATTACAAGTTCGCCATCGACCCATCTAGGATTTTGAAATCCTGCCTCTGCAAGCCTCCCTTGTCCTTGATATCGAGCAATCTGAATTGCCAAAAATAATCTCAAACAAGCTCACATTTTTTAAAAATTACAAAATTGGTCCCTGTGTTTTCTGATTTTTACTGTGTTTAGTCCAAAAATGAAGCTTTTTTCAAATATTATCAGATTTCACATCGATTTTAGTCCTTATTTCAGAGTTTCATATTGATTTTGATCCTTAAGTCAAGGTTTTAAGGACCAAAATTGATATGAAACATTAAAATAATGACCAAAGTTGAAAAGGGTTACAAATTTGATCCTTATTTCAGGGTTTCATAACGATCTTTGTCCTTATTTCAAGGTTCTTGGGACCAAAATTGATATGGAACCTTGAAATAAGGACCAAAACTGTAAAAGGTCCCAATTTTGGTCCTCATTTCAAGGTTTCATATAGTTTTTTTGGTGACTAAGATTTTATGATTTTGGTCCTTATTAAAAGGTTCTAGAGACCAAAACTGATATGAAACCTTAAATAAAGACCAAAACTGAATAAAGTTACAATTTTGGTCCTTATTTCAAGATTCTGTGGACCATAATTGATATGAAACCTTACAAAAAGGACTGAAACTCAAAAAAGTTTCAATTTTGGTTCTTAATTTAATGTTTCATATCAGTTTTGGCCTTTATTCAAAGCTTTATATTGATTTTGGTCCTTATTTCAAGATTCCAGTCACCAAAACTGATATGAAGCCTTGGAATAAGGACCAAAACTGAAAAAAGGTTCAATTCTGGACTAAACATGCAAAAATCAGAAAGCATAGGGACCATTTTTGTAATTTACTCTAATAAAAAGTATGTCAGGACTTGCCACTCCAAATTCTTCTGGAATGATCCCTCTATGAGGAAGCTGATATTTTGTTCCAACTTTTGCACGGAATGCAACCTTTTGGAGTAAAAAAAAAATTATATGTTAAAAAAGATGAAAATAGTTGTAAGATATGATTTTAGAAATGTGAAAAGAATAACACACCTGTCCAGCTGGCACCTGTGGGTCCCCTGTGATTTTTACTGCTTCTACATACTCATAAAACTCAAGATTTGTAAACTCCTTGTTTCCATCTTCTTTCCACTGACCAAATTTACGCTTTAATTGAATGATTTCAGAAGTGTAATTCCCATGTCCAACATAAAGTCCTGCATCAAATTTATCTTGAAATTAACAAAATATAAAGAAAAGAAAGATTTTATTTTGTTACATACAAAAAGATTACCATTTAAAGGGTCTCCAGTTAACGGAAGCTCAATTCGGTTGAATGTTGTAGATCCAGATAAAGATTGACAATTTTGCCCCTGATTAATGGTGAGATTTATCAACTCATCCACATTGTCAAGCACCTGAGAATTGGAAATATATCATCAAGAACTTGAAGACTTATTTTCTAAACAACAAAAAAAAAATGGTACCCAAATGACAAATGACAAATCTAACCTTCATGGGCATCTCCCCTCTTACAATAGACCTTGCAAGATCAAGAATAACATTGTCTGTGCTCTGACTTTTACTACCTTCAATTCCACCATTATTGCCTAAAGAATCTTGTGGATTCTCTTTGTCTATTTTGAAAGTGAAAGATGAAATATTTTTATTTTCTAATTTGGCAGGTGTTCGAATTATATCTTTACAAGATTTGTCAGAAGAAGCTTCTTGTGCCAAATCACTAACCATAATCTTGACTGCAGTTTGACTATTACCTTCATTATCAACTATTGTATTCCCAACATCAAAATCAATCTCATATTGCTCTGTATCACTATCCAACTCTGTATCACTCTCTCTTTCTTCTTCTTCATCTTCTTCCTCCATTATTTGTTCAACCACCTTTGAGATTAAACTCATGTCTATTTTTCCAAGTGGTGTGAGATTCATCACCTTAATTTTCACATCTTTTGCACCAGGAATTATATCTCTTAAAATACTCTCAAAACCAGCATTCGTGTCTTCATTGTCATTTGCAGATAGATCAGTTTCCTCATCCATGGAGTCCAGGGAATTCAAAGCATTGATAAGACTTGATGATGTGGCGGAATCGATTGAAAAGTTTCTAGAATTCTCACTTTGTTTCAAGTATACAGTCTGGTTATGCAAATTCAATCCCATGGTGAAATAAGTGAAGGATCACATGACAGAAGTTAACAGAAATTGAGATAGAATGATAGATAAAGAAAGCTACCTGATGTTTGTATTCTCCTTTCTCATTCATTGTGATAAAAACCTCAAACAAAGGGACACCATCTGCAGCCTCAGCAAGCTGCCTGAACAACAATGCATCTTTAGAATCAACCAAATGTACATATACAGAAGGGTAAGATAGTCATTTTCTCAGATTCAAAGAGTAAAATGTTGAAAATTATGCACAAGAATTAGTTACTAAACCTGGGAGTATAACTTCTTGCAAGGTATCTTCCATATTCTGCACTTATCTGGATAATACGACCATATGGATCTTGGCTATCATCTGAAAATCCAGCCCACCACCCTACCTGAAATGTCATATGAACAACATAAAGTAAACCATATGTGAAAAAATACAGAAAAAGATTGCATATAGTTCTCAGAGTTCAAGAGAGAATGGTTGTAGCAACTCACCAAACCTGCACTAGCATGATCTCGTACAAAGGCTGCATCCTTGAAACGTTCTTCCTTTATGGCTTTCTGCAACATCATGAAAATAGATAAGTACTACAGGTATTGTAATTGTAGATGTGATTGTGATGCTCCCCACTAATAACAAAGCACATTATTCTCTTACATTCAGCTGAGACATCACTCTGCCAACAGTGTCATTAGTTGCAGCTGCTGCAATTGCCACTTTAATCCTAGCAGCTTCTTCGTAGTCCTCTTTAACAACAGCAAGGTGTAGTTGATTCTGTAATGACATACATGTCAGAATGTCATTACAATAGTCTAGAGTAGAAAAGAGAATACTCAAACAGTCAAACACAATACCTCCAAGATAGAAACGATAATCTCCTGCTTATCCACCTCACTGAAATGCTTCTTCCACCGTTCCCAATCCCAATCTTCATCACTACCTCCATCTCCAACGATCACAGCACCACCACCAGAATCATCCGTTTGCCCTTTGTCGTTTTCCGGTTGATTAATATGATAGCCATCCATGTAATCATCGAACCACTTAATCACATTTTTAAAGTAGTCGTGAAACGCCGAGTCCCAACGGCGAGGGCTTTCGTTATCTCTGGTGTTGCCTTCATCGTTATTTTTTTGGCAGCGACAGATGCTCTTAGAATGAAAACCGATGGAGAGAGATTGCGCGAAGAGAGTCGACGAATTGGTTGATCGGTGGTTCAAATGAGAGGTGGTGTTGAATTTAGGGGTTGCGTACGTGTGTTTGTGGAGAGTTGGATCGAAGTTGCGAGTGGAGGAAGGGAAGGTTGGGGGAGATATAGACGCCATTGAAGAGAAGTGACAGAAAAGAGGTTCGAGTGTAGACGATGGGGATGCAGAAAAGTGCAAGGATAAGAGAGGCAGTACGGTGGCGCACGGTGGAGCAGGGGAGCAAAACAGTTTACGGAAGGATGGAACAATTGTGGCAGCCAATCACAGAAATTGAATAATGACAATATTACATAAACGGTCCTCCTGATTTATGAAAATGGTCCCTATTGTTTTAATGTTTGCATCATTGTTTCCTATAATTTCTTTTTGTTACAAATTTTGTTTATCTAATTACTGTCTTACCATTTATTTGATATTTTACTAGTTTTTATTATATATATATATATATATATATATATATATATATATATATATATATATTCATTTCGACATAATTAAAATAAGATTAATTAACCTAAATTAAAACTTTATGAAAGAAGAAGAGAGACTTGAAGATAACTTGATCACTAGTAAGTTGTATTTAAATTGGTATATCTTTACATTTACAATGATGTTATTTATACTAGTACAATCACTAGACATAATTAATAAACTCTTACACATATTTGATATATTTGTCATTAGAGGTGAAAATAACTCTTACACATATTTGACATATTTGTCATTAGAGTTGAAAAGAACTCTTACACATATTTGACATTTGGGTAGAAAATATTTTCATCCAATTATTTACAACACTCCCCCTTGGATGACATCATTTCAGATCGCATTTCAACTTTGAAGTATTGCCTCATTAAAAACGTTGCTAAAGAAAACTTAGTGGGAAAAAAACTTTAGCGAAAGGAACAATAGTATAGTGTATAGTTGACCCCCATTCGTTTAAACATTTATTACATTATATGGTATACACATGTCTCATTCCAATTCCATAGACACGTCTCTTGAAGATTGCAGTAAGAAGTGCCTTCGTAAAAAGGCATGTTGCATTGCTGTTGGCTTGAACATATTTTATCTCAACTTGATAGTTTTTATAAGCTCTTGAGTGTACTCAAAGAACTTTAGAGGCATATGTTTTTGTTGGGTTTTATTCAAAAATAGTCTAAAATAAATAGTCAAAACTACGAGTTTAGCAACAGAAGCAATTTTATATTTGAATAAACTAAAATCATTTTACCTACCAATGATCATTTTGCAAAGCTAGTGTAACATCCCAAATTTCGAGTCCAAAAATTTCATTTTAATTAACGGATTATAAAACATTCATAAGAAAACTGCGTAACAATATATCATTTTGTGAATCAATGTATCATGTCTGAAAACCCAAAACATATAATAGCAACATGTCAGAGTACAATCCCAGAATATCTCAAGTGCGGAAAATCAATGCGTGTGTGTATGATGTGTCGCTACCGCGCCGGCTCTTTCCCCTTCGTTGAAGAGGTACCTGAAACCAAAACTGTAAACTGTAAGCACGAAGCTTAGTGAGTTCCCCCATCGTACCACACATATACAATACATACTGTCAGGCAGTTCTAGGGTGCCTGACTACCCAGGTCAAGCCATTCTGGGGTGCTTGACTTACCCAGGTCAAGCCATTCTGGGGTGCTTGACGTACCCAGGCCAAGCCATTCTAGGGTGCTTGACTTACCTGTCGGTCTGTTTCACCCGACTATCAGGGACTATTTCACCCCCTACCACTACCACATAACACACATATACTGCCAGGCAATTCTGGGGTGCCTGACTACCCTGGTCAAGCCATTCTGGGGTGCTTGACTTACTCGTCGGTCCTTATCATCCGAGGACTATTTCACCTCCTACTACTACCACATAATATCATAGCATGAACATACTGTCAGGCAATTATGGGGTGCCCGACCTACCCTTCGGTCCTAACGACCGAACTTGGGGACTATTCTCCCCCTACTACCACTATCACATATAACATATAACATATCATGCTAGCACATAAACATATCAGGTAGTAACAAACCTAGATGAATGTCACAAAGACAATCATCTAACATACAACTCCTACTGGTGGGCCAACATTGTGGCCGTAGACCCACCGCTACTGAAAGGTAACTCACCTCAAACGAGTAGCTGCTGATAATCTGTGCGGGGAATCTCTGACTGCTGCTGCTCCGGAAATCCTCCGGCTATAATCCCCACAAAACACTTAATCAGAATCTGATATCTACCCTTAGGGTAAAATGACTATTTTACCCCAGACCAAGTCCAAGTCAAAGTCAAAGTCAACTTCCAGTTGACCCGACTCGCCGAGTTGGGTCGTCAACTCGTCGAGTCCCTATCTCTTTAACTGTCCTCATCCACGTCCCTACTCGTCGAGTTTATCAACGACTCGACGAGTTCTCCTTCTAACACAACCTCGGATGAACCTTCATCCGACTCGCCGAGCGGTATGAACACTCGTCGAGTCCATCTTCATCCTAAGAACACGTCCTGTCCTCGACTCGCCGAGTTGTATGAACAACTCGTCGAGTTCATATTCAAGAGTTGGGAGATTGTCTTGGACTCGCCGAGTCTGCTCGTGCACTCGTCGAGTCCTATGAACTCCAGGACTATGGCTTATCCCAATACGTTTGGGTCACTCCCTTGGACCCTCTAAAACCTTTCTTTCACTCAACTGGTTCCCATTAACCATAACAGAAAAATGGGAGTCTAACCTTGGACTCGCCGAGTCCCAAGAACGATTCGCCGAGTCGATGCAGTCCAAGTCTTATTTCTTCGATTTCTGGAGTGCAACTCTTGTCCAAATGATAGATCTAGGTCCCTAAACTCAATCTAGCACGTAAAGTTACAAACTTTACGTGCATGCATGGGACTTTGAGCCTAAAATGCCCAAAAAGAAGCTGTTAAGATGCATGAGGCCTTCCATGGGTGCAAAAGCAACCCCTAACTGCCTTGTGACCCTTCCATGGACCTAGATCCGAAGCCTCAACCCCCAACCATGCTTGCAATCATGGTTGGCTACCAAGAATGACTTATAAAAGCCCTAAATCTCCCCAAAAAGGGATCTAACAAAAGAACAAGCAAGGTATAGACTTTATACCTTCTGAGAACAACAAATGATGCACCAAACTCGAATCCTTCAGTCTCCTCTTGATCCTTCTATGCTCTTCCTTCTTCCTTGTGATCAAAATCCACAAAATCACTCAAAAGCCTTGAATCTTGCACCAAAACACTTAGGGTTTGCTAGGGAGGGTTTCTGGGAGCAATAGGGACGAGTGGGGGCTGAATGAGATGATTAAATATGGTGCAAACCCTCAGATTAGGGTTTTTGTCCAAACAGAGCCTACTCGTCGAGTCCAGGATCCGACTCGACAGTCCCATACTTAAACCCCGCGTTCTATCCCGCTTCTACTCGACGAGTTGGGCCATCAACTCGCCGAGTCCCAGGCCAAAAATGTAAAATTACATAAATGAAATACATACCAGGAACCAGGTGCTACAGTTAGGAAAGATTAAAACAACCATAAAAAAGAAAAGTGTTACAACCTTTGAATACTTTGATTCTCACAAAAGATGGAAGTTGATGAAGTGATGCATTAAACTCCAAAGAAGAAACACTCTATAATGTATACCTGTTTTCTTAAACATGCACTACCCTAAGAGATATAAATCGTTGTGAGATCAACAGTTGAGATAAAGCCTTGAGTTGCTTTAATTTGATAAATGTTATTTAACATAAGATAGTTGAGGAATGTTTTAGTTTGCGAGATAAGGATTTCGTGGATATAAAATTTGCTGAAAATAGAGTCGTATGAGAAAGTTATAGTTGTTTGAAGTTTAGATGAAAATACGTTGTTGTTTTGAGAAAGTCAACGAAAGTCAAATTTTGACCACCACGACATGAAAGTATGTTTTTCACGACGTAACAATAGATGTGTCACGACGTAACAATTTCAGAATTTTGCAAAACCAACAAGTTTGAGCCTACATCACACTAAACTCATTAAGTACTTAATGGTTAAGTTCATAAATATTCATTTCAATAGAGTGAAAAGCTTAAACCAAGTTTTCCATGATCAAGCAATAAACCACATAATGGGTTAAGAACTTGGCAAGAAAATGAACACATAACTTTATTTTTTCACTTTAAGCTCATAAGAAGAGATTTAGGGGTTTGGTCTTCAACTAAATCGATTAAACACTTAATAGATAAAGACATAATCTAAAAGTTAAGACACTAATCAGTCCCACTGGATTGGTGGTGACAAGGTGGAGCTATGGTGATCCAAGGATGCTCAAAACCCACATAACAATACAATTTCAAAGAGATATGAACTAGCAACGTGAAATGAAGAAAATGCTTGAAGTAAAAATATAGACATGAAATTGATACACTAATGACCTCACCGCCACCAAAAAGACATTATGGTGGTTGTGGGAGGTTTTACGGTAGGTGCCACCACCTTCTTCGGTGGTGGTTGATGGTGGTTATGTGAAGTGTTTTAGAGAATAAGAAGAAGAAAGAAAACAAGTTAAGATGAGAGATATACCACCCAATGCTTCCAAGTAACAAAATGAGCTCCCTCTTACTCTTCTCTCTCTTCTTTTTCTCTGATGAAGATCTGGCGGTAGTTGCTCTTGCGGGTGGAGGTGGAATCCGACAAGGGTTCTCGAGAGGTACACAAAACCGTACACCCTCCATGTTTGTTACTTAAACCGGTCAGGTGCACCCTAGGTGGGATAGGGTTTGGCCCAATGGACAATAGGGTGTACCCCCTATTACCCACTAGGCCAAAGGCCTTTTTCCTAATTTTTTACTTTGTCCTCTTAACGATCAGATTTGGTAAAAACAATCCTTATAGTCAAAAGCCTTAACAATTTAAGATACCAAATTTTAACCATTTTAGCCCCCCACCTAAAAACATAGTTCTTGTATGTTAAGTAATTACTTTTAATTATTTTTTATTTTTATTATTATTCCTATTTTTTTAAGCTTATAAAAGAAAGCACAACGATGAATTTAATAATGGACAATGGGATGTTATACAATACTTATATATAGGGCCATAACAAGCAGAATGAGACCGAGAAAGTTAGGGACCCTCTCAAGGATATTTTGACCATTTTGTAACCTATTAATATATGATTAGGTGGTGATTAAGAGACCATTTGAGAATTGAAGGAATGTGAATTGACATAACGATACATCAATGTGAGGAAGACTGAATACATGTCCCCTATACAAAACTAAAGATGATTTCATGACTTATATTTATATAAATGTGTTATACTTGTGTGCTTTGTGTTATATTATATGTGTACCTTTATGTGTATTCATGAAAATGAGTTTTATTAAAGAGTAATGGTTAAGAGTATAAGACAAAGTTTGAAAAGTTTTTCCTTATATTGATTATGTATTCATATAAGTTGGGGAAGACCGGTGTGTGTCCTATATGTCCTTGATAAAAGAGAACCAAAAAGAACCAAACATAACAAAAGAGAATTAAAGAGAACAATACATAACAAAAGAGAACAAAATAGAATAAAGAGAACCAAAGAGAACAAAAGAGAACCAAGATGTACAAGAAAGGACTAGGAGATGAATGAGGATCGGGGATATAAACATAATGCATTTACATCTTTTATTTGTGAAAATTTTATAATTGTAATCTATCAAATAGTTTTTTATTTAAAAAAGAGTAAAAGTTATGATATGAAGAGTTATGTTGTGGATAAGATCCAATAAAAAGTTTTATGATTTAAGATGTTTTAGGATTAATGACGTTTCAAAAATTAAAGATGTTCGAAAGATTAGAGACTCAAGAGTTTTGAATAGAAAGAGTATTTATACTATAAATGTTCTTAAGGGTATTGCTACTTAGAGTTCTAAATATTTAAGATGCTTTATGGTTAAATGATGTTTAAAGATTTAAAATATTTTTAAGACATAAGATGATTTAAAGAGTTGACTGTTTAAAAGATTTAAACTATTCTTAAATGTATGATTGTTTTAAATATTTATGATGTTTGAAAGAGTCCGATTATATTAAAGGTTAAAGAGATTTTACAGACTAGAGAGTAGAGAATAATAATTTTCAAACGATTTTGAGGATTTCTCATTGGTCAAGGGATTGTCCTTACTTCTTTTTGACTTTGAAGATGTGAAAACTTGATAGTTTTCAAACAAACTGAAAACATATTTTGAGATTTCATATTTCACAAACATATCACCTTCTCAATTCTATAACCTCAAAAGTTCCCTCCTTGAATCCATTCTCCTTGTCTTCCTTTCTTTTCAAGCATATATGGCAAGTGATACACTTTTTCCCATTCTCCCTTACTTTGTTGTGTGGCGATTGTCGTATGTTATGTTGGTCATTGCCAATTTCTTCTGCCCACCATCTCTAAAGTTTGAAGTGTGAACCGTTAAAGTGCATGTATGCTTATACTTCTGTTAATTCTATTTCTCTTTAAGTAATATTTACCATAAACTGTTTTACTATATATTTTAAACCGGTTATTTATGTTTGGTTTGGAATATTATATTTGATGTTTGAAACTTTGGATTTTGTTTAACCTTAAAATCCGGTTTCCTTAATTTTCAAAACAAGCAAAGTTGAATTGTAATTCGATTTTCGGTTTGGTCTATGTTGCCTTAAATTTGGTTTGGACCCAAAAAAAAAAATCAAACCAAGGGGACCAAACCTAAGGAAACCTAACAAATCTATAACGTTTATATAAATTAGGAATATAAAATAAGAACTTAAACAAGTACCATAAAAATTTATAATGTTTAAGTAAAAAGTAATATTAATAAAAACGAAACTATAAAAAGTTATGTAAGGACTAAAAACGTAAGTTCAAATTAAAGGACAATAATCGTAATGTATAAATATCAATAATTTAAATTTAAAATTATTAATGATGAAAAATATTAAATCAAAATTTTTTGAAAGAAAAAAATATAAATATAATAATCTGCTGTGACTAGAGGTAAATCTTTATTTCTAGAAAGACTCAGATTTTGTATTTTATATTATATGCTTGAAAATGTATATCTTAATTTGGTGTTAGCCATTCTAAAAATAATAAAGGTAATGAATATAAAGTTATCTAACAGATAAATACAAGATATTATGATATTTATGTCTGAAGTAAATATAAAAATATAAATTAAGTTTAGCACCTATTCTAGATGCGAACAACCTTTACTTTTTAATGATTTACCTTATTTCATTGTATTATAATATTATATTTATTTATTTATTTATATTTAAGTGATAAAATTCTTTTCTAAAAAAGGCAAAATGATCAAATGAAGGTTAATGATTTGTATACCCTATCGTTTTGAGTTGGAATGCTTATCGCGCTCATCTTCCAATTCATAGTCTTTATCCTTCCTTTCTTGACTTTTTAGTAGTTTTCTTCCAATTGAATCCACTATATAAATATTATTCAAATATTATAATTCCACCTTCCACGCTATCCACACAATTTTTTATTTCGTGAAATATTATTTAAAAATCGAAAAATAATATTCTTATCAAGACCGATTTACATGATTTTTATTTTTTAAACGAATATATTTTAAGATGATATTTCAAAGTAAAGTTATTGTTTAAAATATGACTGACAAAAATAGTTAGATAGAATCTAGATGATAAAATTTGTATCTTTTATTTAATCCTAAAAGTTGAAATTTTTTATTTGTGTATCATTTTCTGAGAAAAATAGTTATAAGTTTTTTAAAAAATGTAAAAATATATAAAATAACATTTGAATAATAAACATATGAATTTTTTTAACGTAACATAGTAATTTTGTTATACCAGAAAGTCAAAAACTTTTTGTATAAACTCTATCTGAAAATAGTTTTTGAAATAATTGTTTTTTATTCTAAAATAAAAGTTTCAAATTCTAATTTCAAAAAATATTTTTTCATTCATATTTAGAAAAGAAAAACAAAAACACTCAAGCTGCTAAAAGGACTTAAAAACTCGTCGCCAAAATTCCATATCATTAATAAATTAAAGTGATTATAAAATTATGCCCATGCATTATTGCATTGTTGAATATAAAAACAGATTTAAAAAACAATTTAATTAAAAAAATATAATAACTTTACGTGTATAAGAAAAATAGAGAGACTGTTTTCGAAAAGCATATAAGGAGATTCACAAAAGGGGTTTCCAAAGTTTTGGGAGAGACTAGAACTCTAGAAGGCAAAGAGAGAACAGAGGTTGTACATCGTGCTTACACAGTAGTACACTTGATGAACAGATGAGGGTTGGGTTACGACCATTTCTGCGTTCTATCAGAGTTGTAAGTATACTATTTCTTAATTTGTTACTTTTATGTAATAATATTTATTGTTCCACCATTTTTTGAAATATTGAAATATGATCATGTCAAAACACATCATATTTGAGCAAAAAAGAATCAAAACAATCATCGTGTGTGTATGTGGTTAGCAAAAGAAGATGATTGTACCTTCTGAGAGAGATAAACGAAGCTGATTTAAGCCATGGATGAAGCAGATAGTTGAATTAGGGTAAAATTGAGTTGCTTGCTGAGATGTTCTTGTTATTTAAGCCATTGATGAAGCAGATAGTTTAATTAGGGCAAAATTGAGTTGCTTACAGACATCATCTAATCTTCTCCCTAACCACTTAATCTTCACCCCACAATCAATTCACCATTTGCATATCAATTAATTGCTCTCGAAATTGAGAAAAAAGTTATGGAAGATCAACAACTTCAGTCAAAAACCGTTTAATTTTCATCCCTTCTTCTACTTCTTCTTTTCGATACAATCATAATCATAATCACAACTCCGATTCCGATTTTGTTTGTTAGGGATGTCGACGTGGGTAATTACATGGAAGAAGTCTGTGGACTTTTTGTAGAAATGAATGTCGATGTAGAAATTGAAAAATGAACTATTACTATAGTCAGAACTCAAGAAAAGATATAAATGAATTAATTCAACATCAGTTTAACTATTGAAATCTACTTTAATAATAGAAATAAGAATCTAAAAAAAACTTTATTGACATATTAAATATATGTTAATTTATAAATTTTAATTTTATATTATCAATAATCAATTTTGTTTTGACTAAATTATATGACCTGTTAAAGTTATATTTGTTTCGAAGTGAAGGAGCAAAAATCATCAGTCCCTTTTTTTGTTGGTAGACTTGAAATTAACGATTAAAATAAATGTAAAACTTTATTGAATGAGCAAAAATTAAATGTTATGTTAAACGTTATATTTGTTTCGAAATGAACGAGCAAAAATTATCATATTTTCTTTCCATGGTAGACAAGAATATTAAGGATTAAAATACATGTAAAACTTTACTAAATATATAGCTTAATGTTATTAATTTTTTTTTATTTCTGTAAATCTAAAATATCTTTCATTAAAATACAATCAAATGGTGACCAGACTGCTACCATAATATGTTAAAAGAACATGGTAGTCTTTTTGATGAAGTAAAATGGGGTCCCACAGACAGCTACAGACCCAAACCATATAAATATAATGACATACCAATATACCATGCATCCTCGATCCAAATTACTATAAAAATTTCAATTAACAAAAAATAAGAATTAAATTGTAACGATTTCAACAATCTATAACAAAATATTAACTACTAAATAAACAAATCATTTTCAACAAAATCTAACTTAAATTAGCAATCACCATAGTTAACCGTTCTTAAAAATAAAAATTAACTTTTTTTAACCAAATTCAACAATATGTACTTAACTTGTAATAATTACAAACTTAAATGTTTATATATATATTTTTTCAAAAACACAAGTACGACATTAGTAGGCAAGCTTTTCAAAAACACAATTGTGGCATTAGTAGACAAGCTTTGCTAAACGAATTACGAATTACTAGAAAGAACAATTAACAATGTTAGAAATTATATATATATATATATATATATATATATATATATATATATATATATATATATATATATATATATATATATATAATTAAAATAGTGATTGGGCTCAAAATAATTGAGGATTTGAGACCACACCAAACGGGTGAATTTTTTCATTTTTTATTTAGAAATTAAAATATTGTTCTTCGTATTCATCGCCAATGCTCAATTGGTCATGCTTGATTCTAGTTCCTTCTTCATTGGGTTGGGACTTTGGAGCTTGAATCACATGAATCTTCTGACATATAAATATACTTTTTTATGATCAAGTAATTAAAATACTTTTAAAAATATCAAAATCAAAAGACTTTTGGTGAAACATTACACTTTAGACGAGCTCACAAAATTCGAGATTAACTGAAATTCATGTTATAAATTTATAAAATGTATTTAGTAGCCGATCTTTTGAGAAACTGGAATTTTTTTTGTTTGACAAGTTTTTACTTTTTAATAAAAAACTTTGAATCCAAAAATTATTTAAGTAGTTTTTGATAGCTTTTATTTTTAGTTTTTAACTAATTTTACATAAAAGCTATAAACTACTTTTGTCAAAAATTTCTCCATAAATAAAAGCTACATCTTGACTAATTTTGCCAATAAACCTTTAATCTATTAGATCTTTAATCTATTAGATATGGAAGGGCTTTATAACAATAAATAAATATTACCAATAAAAATGAAAACACTACTTTATGTTATAAAAAGTGATATAAAACGAGTTTGATGACTATAATTAGAAAAATACGAAACTACTGTTCTTCTGAAAATCCCAAAATGGGAATTTGGACTTATCTATTTATTACATCACATTCACACCTGTCGAAGCCTAGTTATTCCAATTGGATTGATGAGTTGGCCTGAGCAGACAGCTTTCCTATTTTTAGTAATGGCAACATAGATTTCTCCGCCTTTCTTGGAATGAAACGATTGTTCTTGATCTCGCCACCAACACCCAGTTGGTATACTTCCCGTTTCTCTATATATATTCGCATGTATCGCCTCTAATTTGTTTGATAAAAAAGAATTAGCATTTAGCATTCTATATAACCAGCAGGAAACCCTCTAATTAATCCGAAAATGGCGCAGTCAATTCTTGGATCTTCTCCTCTCTACAAATCCGAGTGTTCGAAATCGGCTGCATCAACATCAACAGTAACCCCCTTCTCTCTATCTCTCTATTTAGATGTATATGTCGTATGCAGATAAGATGTTCGATGAAATGTTTTTCTGTTTTTTTTGACCGATTATTGTTTTTGTATTGATTTCCGTGGCAGATCTCAGGTTCCAAGTTGAAGTTTTTGGGAATTGAGCAGACACACCTCGGATTTCTGAATTCTTCCAAGTAGGTCATGTAAAAGTTTTCAGTTCATATTATTAAAGCTATGCTTACAACTTCTTTCTTAAATTCTCTGTATGTTTCAAGTGTTCATCATATCTTACTCGCAAAATCTTTTTATTATCCAAAATAAGATTCCCATTTGGTGCAGATTGCAATATGACACCATATATATATATATATATATATATATATATATATATATATATATATATATATATATATATCCTTACGTTTGATGATTTATTTATATAGGAAAAAAACATATATTTAACATTACAGACATCATTGCAACCTTCGGGATTGAACCCAAGAGATAAGCATGTCTTTATTTTGGTTTATGTTAGCTAATGGCCTAATGCTGCAATAACAAAAAATATATTATATATATTTTTTCTAAAATTATCCACCTCATTCATTTACAGGAGCAATCTGGCTTTAAAATTGAAAGCCTCAATGGAGGGGGTCGCTTTGGTTCAAGAAACTAAAGTGGATCCACCAAATCTTATAAAGAAATCAAAAGATGGAAGTGATTCATTCACTGAAATGAAGCAAAGATTCCTGCGTTTTAAAAAAGAAAAATACTTGTAAGTGACAAGAGTATCACACCTGAAAGTTTCAAATAATGGAGATTCTTAATTAATCTGAGACATTGTTATTCTTGGACAGGGGAAACTTGGAGTGCTATCAAGAACTTGCTGAAGCTCAAGCCCCAAAGGTATGACCAAATGACCATTTTACCCTTGGTCTGTAAATGACACAAGTGCAAAATGAAACATAACCTTATTGTTTTTTGTTAGAATGGGAACTGTTTGGTTGACTAACAATTGTAAGAACAGTTTCTGGTGATTTCTTGTGCAGATTCCCGAGTTTGCCCCTCTTATATCCTAGGATTTCAACCTGGTGAAGCCTTTGTAGTCCGCAATATTGCTAATCTTGTTCCACCATTTGAGGTATTATTATAAAATTTTTCATTAATAGGCACAAGTTATTTGAAAATATATTGATTTTGAGAGTTTCATGCTTCTTTTGTACAAGTTTTATCATCTTCTTGATTTCATTTGCAGAATGGACCATGTGAAACAAATGCTGCACTTGAATTTTCAGTCAATGCACTTGAAGTAAGTATTACTTTCTGATAATAATAATAATTATTATTACTGATGGATATAAAACCGTAATTCTAATTAATGATAATGAGAATAAAATTAATTGCAGGTTGAAAATATACTGGTGACTGGCCATAGCTGTTGTGGAGGCATCCGTGCCCTAATGAGCATGGAGGATGAAGAAAACTCAAGGTTTTGACTTTTGACTTACAAAATCTTTTTCTTTAAAGTTTTTTCATGTTATATTTTTCTCATATAGCTTTTCTTGATTTTTCAGTAGCTTTATCAAGAATTGGGTGGTGGTTGGAAAATCAGCAAGATCAAGCACAAAAGCCATCACTTCTAATCTCAGCTTTGACCAGCAATGCAAACACTGTGAAAAGGTGCTTATGATTATCATTTTTTTTACCAACTTTCTATTTTGATATGAGGATGAGGGTATTCTCGTCTTTTGTGCAGACGAGAGATCAAGAGTGAGTCCTTGTCCCACCTTTTTGGGTGGATTTTTTTTGCTATTTTTGTCCCATTGATATATGACTATTTATTTTCTTCTTAATCTGGACAAAATGACTTAATGAGTTAAGTAAAGAAACATAGCTTAATGTATTAAGACACTAACCCTTTACCAGTTTACCTATTTGTCCTCCTTTTTTCCTTACAACTTCTCTTACGTTAGTATTATGATTCTTTTTGGAATGTAAGGGTAATTTGGTCATTTGTCCAGTCCAATACATGCCAAACATTGTCTGACAACTTTAACTTTTCAGGAATCAATCAATCATTCACTATTGAACTTGCTTACATACCCATGGGTAGAAGAACGAGTGGCAAAAGGTTTGCTTTCTCTACATGGTGGCTATTATAACTTTATAGATTGTACATATGAAAAGTGGACTCTTGATTACCAAAAGAGCAGTCAAAAGCACGAAAAAGGTGGATACATCATCAAGAATCGTGAATTTTGGCAATAATGTTGTGGTGTTCTTATTCTTCTTGATAGTAACAACTTTATGAAGGAACAATATTACAAGAATGTTGTTTGTGGTGTATTATTGGAGGTAATTTGTGGGATGTTGTTTGTTTGTGTAGCTCTTGATATGTGAATGATGAAATTTATGTATCCTTTTTGTGGTATATATATACATTGTTGTTGATGATTCACAAGTGAATGCTTAACATGGCAATCGTTGATATGGTGCTAGGTTGAATCTTTTGTATATTTCTCTATTAGTCTTACTTTATGATGCCCAATCAAAGTGTTCTAGGTTGAATCTTTTGTATGTCACTACATAGACATCTCCTTCCAAACCTCTAGAGATGAAGATTAGGCTGTCCGTAGGCTTTCTTCCTCGTGTTAGAATTTCTTTCTTTAGGCGGGATAAATCAATAGTTTAAACATTTCTTACAATTCATACTGTAAGTCTTTCTTTTTTATTTATCACCTACTTTCAAAGTGTTATAGGTTGAATCATTTGTATGTTTCTTTATTGGGTCATATACTCTATCCATTGTCTATCTACTAGGACATATCATCTCTACTACATCTTTCTTTCATGATACCGCAATATCACTCTTTCTATATACTCGTGGCATCTCTTTAACTAGAGGGCCCTTTCTTGTCATTTCGCAAAATGACAATTTTTTTTTCTATTCTAACATTCTGGACCAAAACCTTCAAGGTTGGTCAATCTACGAAACTCATACTTTTCAGGTTCTTTATCGGTTTATCTTCACATATCTTCAAACGTGTACCTTGATCTCTTAACATGGTTTATCACAAAACCAACTCATACTTTATGTTTCTCATCCATCTTCCACAGTTTAAGACTTTAAGACTAGGAATGGATACACCAAACCTAATTCACTTGAACTATGACTCTGATACAAGTTGTAACGACCCGAATTTTCTAACATCTAATTTAAGGGAAATATCAGAGTTTTATCTACAATTGCGGAATTCTACTCAAATTAAAACACTTTACTTCCCGGGACAAATCATGTATTTACAATAAAAATCTATATATTTACATGAACAACAAAGAATACAATAAATAACAACTGACTATCTGAGTCTTGACCTTGTGCTTCTGTCTTCTCTTCTGGTACCACAGATGCTGCTATCTGGACCAGCAAAACATAAAACATATCTACAACATCAGACATTATGTGTTTAGCGAATGTTTCTATAACTTTTCTTTTCTTTCTTCTTGTTTCTCTTTCTAATACTCTATTATCTACAATCTTTCTCTATTAGCATACACTACTATTCTTACTTCTTTCATTCGTCTCTTTTATCTTTCTTCTCTAATCCTTCTTTCTACTCTTTCTCATCTCATCTAACTCTTTCTCTGTCCTCTACTCTAGTTCTCATACTCTTCTCTTACTCTTTCTTAGCCTCTTCTTTATTCTGTGTCTTCTCTATCTCTTACTCCGTTCTTTATTCTTAATTGGATTTTGACTTCATTATGGAATGAAGGGTAAGTCTTTTTGGAATGAATTATAATAAGAATACACTACTTTAGAAGTTGAATTCAAATATGATTGGATGAATGAGATCATTGAAAAACTATGTTGATCTCTGCCATTCAAGGATCACATAGAAATCTTTGTGACTTCGAGAGTATACTTAATCAAGCTAAGATGCTACATGTCACGAAAGAACACCAATCATATTCTCCAGGATATTTAACTATACTTAGAGTAAAGTTAAAGTATGGAGATGATAGTATTCACATAATTCACACAAATTAAATTTTATTAGATCCATTGATAAAGTCATTATGTTTGGCTAAGTATGAATGGTCACACTTCAGCTATAAGACTTTATTATTCTAGAAATGAGTTTTTGATTTGGATTTAGTATTTGGATATTGGAACATTATAACAACAACTATTAGATAATGTTATGATTTATTGGGATATAGTCATCACATTAATACTTGTTATGTTCTATATTAACATGTTTAATCCATGAATAATGTTATTATTTTAAAGGTTCATAGTCGGTTAAAATTGTGGGAGCAATTATAAAGTAAGACTAATATGAATTGGATTGGTTGACTCTGACTAGATGAAAGTAGGCAAGTGGTTGTAACCAAGTTTCATCGGTACTTGTTAGAGAACCAGTATTGAACTGACCCGCATCAAGATCATCTCATGGATCGTTATTATGAATGATACTTGATTAAAATGTACTATCTTTGTATCCTTAACACCTGAGATACAACTAATGAGATTGTTAGCGATCCGTATCTCAAGTTCAACATGATGTCTGTAGCAAAGGGATGATTGATAAACTTACCTTATACACCAATTGCAACTTTGAGCATTTTAGGAATTGGGCGTTGATAGAATGGCACAAAGTCGTATGTGTTGGATTAGGTGTATAAGCCCATAACTATAATTGGTATGTACTTGACCCGATGATAGCATGGTCCATTTGGGTTGTAACACTCTGGAACAATTTGATAGGATGGATACTTGAGAAAGAGGTTATTGTGATTTATTAATATATTATAAGTATAATATATTAATTGAGGAATCACATTATTTAATTAGTATTGATCAAGAATTAATTTGGTATTAATTTAGTGATCAAAAGAAACTAATTAAAGTTAAAGGGACTGATTAGGTAAATCAGTAATTCTTCTAGTTGGACTCATGACTCATGTTAACTAGGGTTGGACTAAACTTACATGAAAGTCCATAAAAGGTTTAGCCCAAAAGGCTTATGTAATATGAAGAGTCATTAGGGTTTGCATGGTTGTAATCCTAAGCTATATAAGAACACCATAACACCTAAAATCGGCACTCATGCATGCTAAAGTAACGGCTAGCCGATTTTGAGCTCCCAAGCTTCTATCTCAAGTCTATTCTCTTGTTCTTGATTTGTTATAAGACATTTGAGGCATCACACTTGAGGTGCTAGGCTCCTAAAGGTCAAAGACAAGAAAGCCACTACACAAAATAATCCTCTAACTGTTTTATGATTCAAATGTTGCATTGCATGCTAGTTTAGGCTTTATGCTTTGGAAAAACAATGTTGCATGTATAATTAGAGAAAAATTAGATCCAAAGCATTAGGTCTGTATGTGCACCATAGGATTGTTAGAGTACATAAAACCCATCAATGGTATCAGAGCCTAGGATGTTTTCTATTTTATTGATGCAAATGTGTGATTTTCAAAGTTGGAAAAATGAATTTTCTGGGCACTGTCTGATGAAATCGACGAGCCCATATATGGAATCGACGAGTTGGATGAGTTTTTCCATGAACTCGACGAGTTAAAAGCCTGGCTCGACGAGTTGGCTCATCTGGTGGCATATTTTTCAAGTTTTTGGCATGTTTTGGATTAGGATCATTACCACAAACTGTTTTGGTTCATAAAGATTGATTTTAATGATATGATAATGTTTATCCCCATCCAAAAACATGAAGTTTGTCAAGTTCTAAGATAACTACTTGATTTTTGTGAAATACTAGTTATTTGTAAAATTTGAAACTATCTTGAATATGAATCAAATTAGGTCAAATTGGTAAATGATCATCATATCATAATTGGACTAGTTAATTTGATCCATATGTGTTCTTGAAAAGTTCCATAACTTGTCCTCAAGTTATGGAATATGAAAAGTCTTTATTTATGAAACCATTAACTAGTGTAAGTTATAGAATTCTAAGAGTCTTGGAAGGTTTCATAACTTGTACACAAGTTTGGAATTGGAAAGGTCTCATTCATGAAACATAAAAGTTCATAAGTTATGAATTTCAAAAGTTTTGACAAGTTACAAAACTTGCCCTCAAGTTTTGGAACTTGAAAAGTTACATTAATGAAACTTTAATTCCAAACCCTAGAATTTTAAAAGTTTAGAATTCAACCCTTATACTATTATAATATTAAAGTTTAATACTTATATATATATGTATAAGACAAGTCGGTCTTACCGTTAGTAGGCCTCATTCACGAAGCCGGTCTATAAGGGGGGTATAAGGTTACTGCCTATAAAATGGTGGTTTAATGGGTGTCCACTCTCACCCACCGCTTCCTTGACTGGTGGAGGGTCGTTAGCCGAACGGGTAGGATAAGACATTAATTCTCATTAATAAGTATAATGATAATTATTAAAGTAACTAAACTTTTATAAATTCCCAATCTTAGTTACTTTAGGAAAAATGTGAAAATGGTGCTATTCCATGAAATTGCACTTTGCACCTTGTTAAGTCATTAGTGGAGCGTGTGTGGTTAACCGGCACACTAATTTGGGACTGACAATGTGTGGCAAAGGGTAGCTTGATGTTAATCATGGATCAATAGAGCGTGTGTGGTTAACCGACACATTGATTGGATGATCTGTAACATTAAGTGTACCAAGCTAATTTGCATGGTTACTCACACCTTGTTTGTGATCCTCGGCGTCCCAGTCACAAACTTGAAGGGCATAATCGAGATTTAAACATGCCATTGAAAAAGTTCAATGAATCTCAAAAGAATCTAGGAATTTCAATTCATTTAGAACTTAATAATCAATTTTGTTTTAATGGTGGAAATTGGTAAATCGTCATTTACCTACCTTAAAATATTTTGCAATTGGATTACGACATCCCTCTTCCGAATTGTAAAATATTGTGTTGGGTCCTAGCCTTTAGATCTCATTTTGGGTGTTATATTAAGGATCCTTATCTAATCTAAATTTGTCTTTCTTTTTAGATGTCTTCCAACACTGCTTCATACTCAACTGCTTCTGGCTCTTTCTCCCTCATGAACCTATATGGGAGGGTCATAATTGATGGATCGAACTTCAATGATTGGATTTGAAACATCCGAATGGCCATTCGCTATGAGGACAAAGAATATGTCCTGGATAAAGAGCTTAAGGAGATTGATGAATCTACCACTAATCCCGAACAGATTGCTGAGTTCAAGACCCATGAGAGGGACACGAGAAAAGTGTTGTGTATTATGATTGCTACCATGACTGCTGAGCTTCAGAAGTCCTATGAGGACTTTTGGCCT